AAAATGGTTTTGGAAATCTCCAAAGGGATCAAAACATAAATGTTCGTCAGCGCAGATTTACCCGTACGATTCTGCGTGAGTTTGATAGAGATCCGACCACAAGTGTTAGGAGAGTTTCTGGTGCCTTGGGAATTTCAGCAAGCCATGTTCACCGTGTTCTTAGAAATGACCATAGACGTCCTTACCATTTGCAACCTGTGCAAGGACTACAGCCAGGGGACGGAGAACGAAGAATCACATTTTGTCAGTGGAGTCTTGAACTGATAATAATAGGGAGTTTTTAAGTAACGTTTTATGGACCGATGAGTCATGCTTCACTAGACGTGGAGTGGTAAATTTTCATAATCAACATATTTGGTCGCATGAAAATCCGCAAGCAGTTCGGGAAAGAAATTTTCAGCATGAATTTAGTGTGAGCGTGTGTATTGGTATCTACCGTAATCGACTATTTGAACCCTACCTTTTGCCTGCAAGGTTAAATGCTGCGACCTTCTTGGAATTTTTATAGCCTGCAAATGCAAATATGTGGGATGATGTTATGTTAGATTTAAGAAGATTGGCCTGGTTCCAGCTTGATGGTTGCCCAGCTCATTATTCGAGAATAGTTAGAAACTGGCTGGACGAAAATTATCCAGAAAGATCGATCGGCCGTGGAGGATCAGTCGCCTGGCCTCCACGATCCCCTGACCTAAATCCATTAGATTTCTTTGTGTGGGGATTTCTAAAAGAAAAAGTGTACCAGACTCCCGTAACCACAAGAGATATGCTAATAGATAGAATCAGGAGTGCATGTGATGAAATAAGGTCTTATTTGAATAATGCTATACCACGTTCAATCATTCGTAGATGTGTATTGAACAATTGGGTTTACATTTCGAGCAACTACTTTAGATTTTGTATATTGGTCCTAACTATCCAATAACATTTTAGTTGTAAATAATTAATTTAATTTGTTAAAAATAATACTGGAAGATTAAACAAATTAATATTCTGTTTTTTGTGTTTATTTGGAGTTAGGAATAATTTCTGTATTTAAAACCACAATCTAAACGATCATCTTAATTACTTGTAATGCCCAAATCGAAAATGTAAAAACAAATATTATTTTTCCATAAATAATTAAAAATGCATCGAACCCAAAAATCGAAATATCTCAAAAACGGCTAACTATAGCGAAAACTCACAGGAGAGCTTTTTATGTTGAAAAGTGCGAAGAATTAGTTTTTTCATTCAAAATCCAAAAATTGCAATAAGAAAAAATTTTCGGTCATTTTAATACACTACAGGTAGGACTTTATGCATTAATTTTAAAAGTTCTATCGAATCTTAAAGTTATGCAACAATAAACTGAAACACCCTGTATATTACAACTTCTACAATGTGTATACTGGTCGCTCTTTCAAAGTACTTTGCAGCTATTCTGGAAACTCTTGTTTCGATTCTTGCTTATAGGACTGTAAATATATGAAACGGTACTTCTAATCAAATGAATATAAAGATGACGGTGATATTTTCATGTTAGGAATGAATGATGACAACCCCAGAAACGAATTTATTCGTCCCCATTCCTTACGTTCGAACCCACCCTGGCACTAACAGAGCACTTTTAAATGCAGCTTAAAATCCAATCCGCTGCCAATTCGGATGAAACATTGGGTAATCATGAGGCCGGAGGGGCTTTATGGGATTCCAGAAGTAAGATTAAAAAAATTATGTGAGGTTAAAGGCGAGCGGCTGTCATAAAGTGGGATTCCGGAATGGAAATTGCCCATATTAATGGGTTATGGGATATTGGAGCACCGTGTAGGCCCGACCGGGAAGTAATAAATTGGCCTGTTTAATGCATGCACGTTTGAAATACAGCCTATGGGGAGGGCTTCGAGGCATGGCTTGACTTTTAATGGCTACGATCACCGCGGACTTATCGTTAGTTGTTTGTCTCTGGGGCCCAGTCGGGAACTTTATTTTTGACGATACAAAGATCCTAGACCTAGCCTCGAATACGGCTCACATCCGATGCTGTACAGATGACGGATGTCCCGGTTGATGACTCTTATCAAACGGACAGTCTCGGGACACGGTCGCACTGTCGGGCCATCGCCGATCTAGCTTTCTTGTACCGCTATGATCCTACCAGGCAGACCCGCCAGACTTCGATCCCTCATCCTAACCATGTCGAACTTCGTACCGAACAGTGGTATTGCGAACTGTGGAACAATCTGCATGAGGAGGCTCTTCCTAGTTCTACTAACCTTAGGTAGTTCAAAAATGAGATTAACTAAGCTGGATTTTTTAAGGTCTCATAACACTACCTTATTTGAAAAATCTCCACTGTATACACGCATCAAAATTTAAAATCACTTACCCACAGTGTTCAGGAGAACTACCAATGTAAACCTACTCAAAGTGCATCTGAAGAGATATCTTGTTACCTTTACACTCTGGCTGACAATTTTTTATCCTAAATTTGTACAGAAATTTATTTTATGTTTTGTGCCAATCGTTTATTATGTATCTTAAATGTGATCGTTTAAACGACTCAATTTTATGTACTTTTATGATTGTCTATCTATATATCTAATCCTTTATCCAAAGTTTTTTCAATCTTTTGACTAATAAAGTAGCAGAAAATAACTACTCTTTTTTTATATTTTGAAATATATGTTTATATACGTTTTCCTGGGTGACTGCCGTTTTTCTACACCCACCCTGGTATCGTCGCTGAGACTTACCCGTCCACGTTTGAATTCTCCATACCAACAGGAAATTGTCGAATGATGTGGCGCTTCATTGCCGAAAACAGACAGTAACTCAGCAAGGCATTCTTATTGCGATAATTGTCTCTGAAAGTTGTAATAAATTACGGCGCGAAAATCTTCTCGGTTGAGTTCCATTTTTCTAATGACTTGGTGACACTTAAAGATTCACTGTAGTGATAACACTGCACGTATTGTTGTGAAACTTTGAATTTAAGTTTACTAAAGAGTGAGGTTAAGATTCAGTACTGACGTTCGATCCGCGCAGCCTACTATGTTTCTATATGCAAAACTTAAAAGACATCCTCGTACATACATACATACATACAGACATACATACATACAGACATACATAAATACATACGTATATACAGAGCAAGCTTATAAAAGCGTGTTAAAAATTGAATGGATAATTCCTATATCACTGTACCGACAAACTTTTTAACGCAATTACGCGAAACAGCCAAACTCATTTGCTCTAATCTAACGCCGATTTTCCAGCCGTTCCCCAAGATTGCTTACACCTTATCCCTCAGCGCTTATAAATAATAAAACAAAGCCAAAAGGGACTATAACCCTTTTTGCATAATAAACAGGGTCGCGAAGGCGAGAATTCCCGTTCTGCTATAACAATTACCAACATCGACCACCCAGGCGGTGGGTAAGGCAAACAGGATGCCTCCGAAAGCGGGACCCACAGATGTTTACCGTGGAAACTGGGCGTTCTAATCGGAAAACTTAATCTTAGTTTGACTTTGGGTACAGCAGTGGAGTGTCAGACGCTTTGCATAGACAAATTGACTTATTTTGGTAGTAAAGTCGTAGTCAACACTATCCCGGAGAGTCACCAGTGCCGGCCACAGGCGGTAAGCAAGAAAGCAAGTGAGACAGTCGCCTCAGGGCGGAGTGCAAAATTCTCAATCGAGGACGGATCCAGAGGGAGTCATGACCCCCCTCCACTCGGAGGATCGAGACTGACCAGTCAACCCAACTAGCAAAGTAGTGATTTCTGCAACATATTTGCTCTAAAATGAGGTGTTTAAAATATTCTTATAGCATAGTTATACAACACCTTATAGGGAACATTTTTAACTGTTGCATAAACGTTTATACAACTATTTTATACGGCATATTTGCAAGTTAGTCAAAATGGTTGTGTTGTGGCACCCATGCTAACGTTTATAAAAGAAACCCGAGCCATGTTGCTTTGCTGTGCAATTTACTACATACGGAAGCACTTATACAACTGTTACATATGCTAAATATGTTGGTAAACAACTTCACCATAACCTAACTTTCTGCTGTCATATTTTTGTTAAAATGCCATAACCAATGTTTTAAGACAAACAACGCATGCATATCGGTTCAAAAGGTTCTATCAACTGTTCAAACAGAAGATATAGATCTGGTACAAATTCTGGGTAAATCACTCGACTTTGTCGGTATTTGATTTCAGATATTTATCAAATTGTTGTATAACACCTCCAGGCAACACCAACATAGTCTAATAACCTAAATACAACATGGACGATGCCATGATTGTGCACAACCACCCGCCATATTGGGCAAACATTTATTCCTCTATTTAATATTAAATAATTATGTTTCAGTTCAGATATAAAGTGATAAACATTAGTGCAATTGTGTCTAAATATAGGATTTGTGGAAGATTTAACGCAGATAAGTTCAGTTTTCCATCTTACCAACTGGTAACAATTTTCAGATACGTATTTAACGGCGAACCAGTAGAACGTTTTTGAAATTATATGAATCCCGAAAAACGTGACGCTGATACTGTCACAAGATATATTTTGAGCATCGTATATCCATTAATAGGAAATTTCCCTAACAAACTGATTTCACAAAGCTATGATGGAGCCGCGGTAATGAGCGGACATAATGCTGGAGTACAGGCAAAAATTAAACAAAGATATCCATTTGCTCACTATCTGCATTTCTATGTACATCAGTTAAACTTTTTATGTCCCAAAATGCTTCCGCAAATGCTCAAGTTCGGGTGTTCTTTGGGGATTTGAAAGATATTCCGGGATTTTTTAATAATTCTCCTCAACGCGTAGAGGTACTGAACAGAATTGTGGGGGAAAAAATTCCACAAGCAGCAACAACTCGTTGGAATTTTAATATTCGAACAATAAATGTAGTGTTTGAGAACAGAGAAGCACTGATTGAATGCATGGAAGAAATAGAAGAAAATTTCATTAATAAAACCGTCGACATCTTGTTCAACCAGTTGCAGAAGAGAAAAACCGAGCCAGCGCAAGATAAAATGGCTATCGATAATTTTGAAAAATGTATTGTCGATGTGAGAAATAAAATTGATGACATAATAAATGAAGCCAAAAGTATTAGCACTGAACCCCAAGGCAACAAAAGGAGACGACATAATAATAGCAGTCACGGTCACCGAGTTGCCGCATTAGAAGTATGCGACAATATAGTGAATTCTGCAAATGAGAGATTTCAATTCAAAAATCATTTGGCAGCCGCATCCCTTTTTTTCCCCGAACACTTTGGATAATACTGTGGTAAGTTTCCTGATGACAAGTTGGAAACTACCTGTTTGGCTTATCCCGAATTAGAAAAAAGTCGTTTAAAGACAGAGTTGTCTGTTATTTATGCACGGAATGATTGCCAAGATTTAGATGGAACTCTGTCTCTTTTGAAATTTTCGATATAAAATAGTTTGTAGGAAATACTAAAAGAAACAAAAAAGCTATTAGAAATTATTGTTACATCTCCTAGTCAACAACAGAGGCTGAGCAAAATTTCTCACCATTGAAAAGAATCAAGACTTTTCTTCATAATACTATGACCCAGGATCGCCTTACAGCGTTGTCGATGCTGTCCATTGAAAACGAATTCATTTCGACCATGAAAATTTCAACGGGAAGGTGATCGACAAATTTGCTGCCAAGAAACAGCGCAGGATCGAACTGACATATAAAAAATTGGTAAGTTCGGATTTGCAGAACACCTGTCTTATTTTTCCAAGCGCCGCCACTGCGTACGGTATATCGCCGAATACGACAGTTTGGCCTTTTTTCTTATCGCCCACATTGGGTGCTACATCTCAAAGCTGAACATCGGCGTAACCGTTTGCTCTCGTGTAGAGAAAGAATTCTATGGAACTGGGAATGGAATCAGGTGGTCTTTAGTGACGAATCTCGCTAATTTTCATCAGAGACGATTTGACAGCTTGGCATTATACTTAGGAAGTAGTGGAGCCTCATCTCATTCCATACCTAAACTACATCCAAAACCCCATGTTTCAGCAAGACAATGCCAGACCGCATATTGCCAGAGCATCGTTAGCCTTCATAGATTAACATCGCATCAACCGTTCACCTTGACCACCACAATCGCCTGACCCTCCAATTGGACATGTCTGAGACATGATAGGTCGCAGGCTCTTGGATTTGCAACACCCTCCACAGACCTTAGCAGCTCCCAGGCGTGTCAATGAGTGTATAAGAAATCGTCAATCCTCAACACATTATTGGACCAGCTTCTGCAGTCAGTTGACGAATCAAGCTGAAAATTCAACCATTTTACTAAAAAGAGACACTGAGACATATAAATCCGAACACCCAGTTTAAATGTTTTTATTTTAATAAAATTTTGTATAAGTACTTAATGAAGCATATTAAGTAAATGATAAACATTTCAAAATGATTGCACTGCTTTAAAGCCCTTTCACCTTTAATAATGTGTGGATGCACCCTGATGTGCCTCGCATTCTCCAACGCGCCTAGACATGCTTCTGATCAGGTGGTCAATGTCCTCCTGTGGTATCTCATTCCAGGCAACCACCAACTCCTCTCGAAGTGCTTCTAGAGTCTGAGGAGGACGTTGCAAATTGAGCAATCTCCTACCCATCATATCCCACACGTGCTCAATTGGGGATAAGTCGGGAGATCTTGGTGGCCATGGTAACAATGTGACATCATTATGTTGAAAGAAGTCTATTGTGACTCTTGCAACATGTGGTCGGGCATTATCTTGTTGGAAAGTTGGATCTGCCAGGGTGTCAAGATAGGGTAAAACATGGGGTTCTAGAACTTCGTGGATATAACGCTGCGCGTTCATGTTACCTTTGATGAAGATTAAAGGTGACCTGGAACCATAAACTATAGCACCCCAAACCATAACTCCAACAGTGTGATGAACATGTCTTTCAACAAAAAACTGTGGATTCCTCCTTTCACCACGTCGCCTTCTAACACTGGCACGACCATCGTGCATGCCTAAACAAAATCGAGACTCGTCACTAAAGACAATACTGTTCCATTCCTGATCCAAGAGTGACCGTTGTCTGCACCACTCAAGACGATTACGTCGGTGATCTCGAGTTAAAGGGAGGACCCAGTGTGGCCGGTATGAAAACAATCCAAAACTTCTCATTCATCGGTAAACACTTCGCATGCCAATAGGTCTTCCGTGTTCTGCAAACCATTCATTTGCAATTGACCTGGTAGTGGAGAAACGGTCCCTTAAGGCCAATAATCTTAGGCGGCGATCTTCACGGTCTGTTGTTCTACGGCGGCGTCCAGTGCCCCTTGCTCTTTGTGTACGGCCTTCTCGAAGCCATGCCTGACAACACCTAACCACAGTGTCTACACTTCTTTGCACTCTAACTGCAATTGCCCGAAAAGAAAGTCCAGCTTCCCGAAGTCCCACTATACGGCCCCTATCAAACTCACTAAGTTGACGAAATCGTACAGGTCTCCGTACTCTAGGCATCGTAACCGATCGTAAAGGATGTCAAGAACCAAAATCCGCCAACGTTGATTCTTTACTGCGGCTGAAATATTCATTTTTAGAGCGTTAGTGAATTAAAAAAAAGCAGTATAAAAACCGGAATGTCCAACTGATAAGGCTGAAAATTTTTTCAATTGTTATTTACAGTAAGATAAATACATTCAGCAACTTTTATTAAAATAAAACCATTTAAACTGGGTGTTCGGATTTATATGTCACTTAGTATATTATGTTAATTTGAAATCGCTTATAGTAGATGTATTAGAATATGGCTCGTGCAGCCACCTACTGCTGAATTTCGGAATGGGGAAACAAATAAACAAAACTCTGCAGTTTCTCCTCCTTCTAATGTCCTTAGTGTATGATGTTTGTAATGTATTATATACATAAACACCTTCCTTACGGTAATTTTGGAAGCATGAAAAAGCTCCAAATTACTGCACCGGTAGTGTACTTTCTGTTGACTGCTGAATCACCTCAAATAATATTTCCAAATAAATTCATCACCACTATGAACATTTTCAAAAGGGCTGACTGCTCAATAAAGTGATGCGGATTAGCGATAACATTTGTTCGCGATAAAAGCATTTTTCGCTGAAAAGAAGCAGAAAAACCTATCCGAAAACACACCGCCATTGGCCTAGCGAATTTATCGGAAAAACTCAGATGCCCGTAAATTTCACGGAAGCGATGAAACTTTTGTTTTGATAATCGATTGAACTGCGTTAAACTAATCGGAAATGGAAATATTTTCCAATGGCAATTTCGCCATTTATTTTGAGCAATCCGTTTTTGCACCGATTCCATCGAAAACATAAAATGGGACGCATTTTTATGATAAAATAGGGCACAACAACGGCCTGCATAGATGTACGCGAATTTTTACATCGACATTATCGGGTCAGTGCTCAGCCTTCCGTAAAGCAATAAAAAGTATTCAATCATGCAACACATGAGTCGTCACGAATACACACAGAAAGCTACTGGAACCACAAAACATACGAAAATGTGAGTACATTATTGACGGCTGAACCATTCCCAACTAGCAAAGTAGTGCTATAAACTTTTGGTAAAAGAACCGTTGAGCCATAAAAGCTCTCTATTGTTGTTTCCTGAACACCAAAATGCTGGTTTAATGTTGTGTGGAATGCAAATTTGCTATCTGCAACATATTTGCTCTAAAATGACGTGTTTAAAATATTCTTATAGCATAGTTACACAACGCCTGATAGGACAAATTTTTAACTGTTGTATAAACGTTTATACAACTATTTTATACGGCATATTTGCAGCCTTGTTGTTTTGCTGTGCAAATTTACTACTTTAGCCAACAAATTGCTCCCAACGGAAGCACTTTTATAACTGTTGTTTAGTAACTGTTAAAGGCTGTACATATGCTAAATATGTTGGTATACAGCTTCACCATAACCTAATTTTCTGCTGACATATTTTTGGTAAAATGCCATATCCAATGTTTTAAGACAAACAACGTTAAGTAGGTTTTATCAACTGTTCAAACAGAAGATATACATCTGGTACAAATTCTAGGTAAATCATTCGACTCTATCGGTATTTCATTTCAGCCATTTGTTAAATTGTTGCAGGCAACACCAAAATATTCTAATATAGTCAACGCCAAACAAAGTGGGGTGCACGTCATCACGATAAAAATTCCCCGACCTAATGCCTAGGTTTCTATCACAAACAATTGCTCTATTGCAGTTTCATATTAATGTGATATATAAATTGTAAAATGGTCATTACTCTCTTATTATGGTTAATAGTCATATAAACATTGTTATTAAAATATCACATAAGTTGCTTTCTGATAAATTTAGACGCATTATGCGAAATAAAATGTTTTGCAAACGCTCCAATCACTTATCGACATGTAAACGCACTAAACCGATTTCGCAGCGTTGACACATTGTCACCTTGAAACTTATTTAAACTGGGAACTGACATTTGTATTAATTTGACACTGAATCAATTTGTGGCATTTCAAATCTTTATAAATCCTTTGGCCCCGCATACTGTAAATCAACAACTGTTTGTTTCAAAACAAAATTATTCATTTTACGAGTAGATAAAGGCAATTTTGGTATATAAAGATGCCCAAACAGTTAAATAGTCGGTGTAAGGAACTCGTGGCCTCGTTAATGCACTACTTTGAGCAAGAAAGGGACAACAACGGGCCTTTGTTGCCTTTAAATGCTGTTCAAGAGGTAGGTTACTAATAATTATATGTAATGTATATTAATAATAGTGAAATTTTATTTCATTTTTTGTAGCGTGTTGCTGCTGCTTTAAAAATTACTTTAAGGACAGTTAGTCGTATTTTCGAGGGTGTGAAAAGTGATGCAAATTTAGAATCGCCCAAGAAAAAGCGGAGTTATATTAAACGTGTAACCAACACAGCGACATTGGATACAAGTGCCATTCGAGAAGTGATCTATAATATGTATCACAAAAGTAAGATCTTATTATAATAACTTATCAGAAATTTGCATTAATTTGTTAACTAAATTATAATGTCATATTACACATGGTTTCAGAAGAACAAGTTACGATACAAACTTTATGGTCTCGATTAAGAGATAGGGCATTATTTGATGGTAGTGCCACGTCTTTAAGGCGGTTGCTTAGAGATCTTGGATTTAAGTGGCTTAAGGACAATCCGCGACGAGGGCTCATGGAACTACCAAGTATAGCTTTGAAAAGGGTGGAATTTCTAAGGCAATACAATCAAGCCAAGGTTGAGGCCTTATACCAGTTTGTCTTCCTCGATGAAACTTGGATATTTCAAAATGGGACCATAGGTCGCTCTTGGCAAAATGGAAACCAAAAAAGCGTGAAAGCTATTAAAACAGATGGTAAAAGGTATGTACTTT